TGCCGTCGACTGCCTACTCTGCCGTCGACGTCCCTACTCTGCCGTCGACGTCCCTCCCTGCCGTCGACTGCCTACTCTGCCGTCGACGTCCCTCCACGTCGACTCCCCGACTACTTACTACTTTCTGCTCCGTTACGATGAGCGACAGTCACCGAGTATATTTCCGAGGATATGCTCTTATCAGGATAAATCAGTTGCAACTTCAGACCGGTAGAGACCTGAACGACAAGCATGTCGCGAGGCTTCGCAAAATATTTAAACTCGAAGGTTGTCTTCACTATGACCATCGACACAGTGTTCCCGTTGTTATAAACGAAAATCTTCTGCTGGATGCCCTAAATAGACAACATCCGGGTCTACACCAACTCCCTAAAACAGGGAAGGATGCGCCAGCGTTGAGGTTTGCAGCTGACGTACAAATCGCTTGCTTGCATGGAAGACATAGAATCGCTGCTGCGGAACAAATTTTGGGCTTGTCAGATCAGTGGTGGATTGTAGAAGTCTTCTCTGATGGTAAGTACTAGAACACAAATAATTCACGTAGAGGCTGACTTGTGCATATAGACATGCCAATACAACAGCAACGTGATATACAGCAAGATCACGGGAGTTCCCTTGGACTCACACATGATGTAATTTTCAGATATATACTGATGGCACTGAAGCGCGATGACAAGGTCGCCTACGACAAATGGTACAATCGTCTGCAAGATGACCAAAAGAAGATCGTTCGCAGATTGCGCGGCTATACCGGCGGAGCACTACTGAAGATATTCGAGGACCTGGCCTCATTCAGCCTTGAGTGGGACTATTTTTGCTTTGGTAGATTAGCACTTATAATGGAAGCAAAATGCGAAGAGGTGAGTACCGCGATTGTTGTGGCATCAACGACTAATTTGCGTGTAGGAGGTCTGTCAATACTTGAGGACACTTCATACGCTATGGATCGACATCCTAGGACCTACAACAGCCGTACAAGATCTCGACGAGACGACAGTGAAATTACTTCGACTCAAGATGCCCGCCCACTCCACTGTCGACGCAGAACAAATTCAACAGAGTCTGCGTGACGGAAAATTATTTCGCAATGTTCACGATCTTTCCGAACGGAAAGCTTTGGAGGCAAGGCTGCTAAAATGTCCACGTTTCATAACACTAGAGACATTCTTCAAAGATGCGATCTACCTCAAGGCATGCTCTGACGGCCTGAACAAGCTTCTACCAAGCACAAAATCGGGCGCGAAACCGACCACGAACAGTCTGCGAGCTTCTTTGGCTTACTACTTCAATGACGACATGAACCAGTTTCCACTCAGATACATGCAGTTGTGGTTTTATGCCTTGAGAAACTTTCCTTACATTGAGGATAGAAAGTTTAACGCTCCAAGGGCCGACGCGGATTCCACAAGTACAAGTCTTCGACTGAGATACAACAGCGATTTTGACAGACTCGCACGCCACGCACTATCACTCGGCTTTTCCTTGGAAAAAAGAGTGAGACATGACGCTAGTAACACGAATGCGAATGACTTCGATTCGATTTCCTCGGAAAAGCCTGCACTGAGCACCAACGATGAAGGTCTTCCTGACAAAGAACGATCTAACCGTCCTTGCGAGCGTTCATTCCATCGCAACCGCGGCTTTATCACATTGGAAAACGTCATGGCGATCTACCCTCAGCCTTGTGGAGCGTATCCTACGCCATTTGCGGTGACGAGAGACATGGTTTTTCGCTTTTGGGGAGATATTCTTCCTCCGAGTGATAGCTCTACTCGACAACGTAACGCTCAACATGAATCGGAAGCCCAAGACCTACCGGCTCCAGGTGAGAGTGACACAAGGATATACCGGCCTTCATCATCTGACTACGAGCGCTCAACTCGTTCTCCTTCTGCTGTGTCGGAAGTAAGACCAAAGACATTTGGCCAGGGGGAGGGATGGAATGAAGGCGACTTCTCTAGCTTTTACATGCATCCTCACCTTGAGACAAAGCACCCATTTGTCTCGCGGCCAAATGTGCTGAGTCTCAGTGAGACACTGACCGCACACGAACCTGCCCAGGTAGAGCACACACAAACTGTTGTCGTGGATCAAAACTTGGTCGAGGACCGTCGACGAGCTCTAAGGATCTCGTCGGCAAGCTCTAGATCCACAAACCTTTTTGATGATGGTTACGAAAAACAATATCCAGCGGAGGACAGAGCATCCAAACGAGCAAATGGCGACGACTTGACAAGGCAAATGCTATTTGAAGCAGTAGGAAAGCAGCAACCAACGGAATCAGTGGAGTTGGAAGATCAGCCTCTACCCGCCGACGACCAGAGTTTGGAAACTGTTCAAACACAAGAGCCACACGCTCAAGAGGAGAGAAATCGCTGGTGGCAACTCAGCGGATCTGACTGCCAACTTCCAGATCCTGAACAGCAGATTCAGGAGACTGCAGAGGTGGTTGGCACGGTGTATGATGATGACGCAGAACTGGCCGATTCTCAGGCGATCAATGCGCTCCATGCGAGAGACCAGGCCGTTTCCAAGAAACGACATCGATACACAAGGTTCCCTGGTGGTCCGTCGAAGAGAGAGGGGCAGCTCTTCAACCCTGGTCAAGTGGCGCACCTTGGAATCAATGTTGACAAAGACATTGGGCCACCACCCGAACAGGATACAGCGACGACGCCTAATCACGATGGACAGACCACCACGACCGGAAACGCAAGCTCAGAGCCGGAGAAGGAAAACATCCAGCATGAGCATTCGAGCACAAAGCTCGCTGTGAGTTCTAAGCACAAGACCACATTCCCGGGTCCCGCCTCTCAGACAACCCGTCATCACGGTAACAATTTGAATGTATCGAGTCTGCGAACAGAAGATAATCGTAGAAGAAAACGTCAAGATCACGACGACACAGTTTTCGCTACAAAATCTGCAACGCATGAACAGGCGCAAGTTCCCGACTTTGATGTTTTCAAAATTCAGGTCGAATCAGTGCGCTCCATCTGGGATCAGTTAGATAATCGAAAGATATATGTTACCAGTCCAGTGGATGTGCCGGGGCTGGATTCTAAACGCCATACATCGCATGACAGACTCTGGAGCTGGGCAGAACATGAACATGGAGAATACCGGCTACAATTGGACCGTCTGCTAGAGCAGAACTATGGGTTTCAATTGATAAGTTCTGAGGGCCGTCCTGGGGAGCCACATTATCGTACCGCCCCGCCGGAGAGCTTCTGGCAGGTCTATTTCGGAACTGCTCCACGAATCTATTGGTTAGCTGTGATATATCCGCTTCAAGAATTCGGCGGATCTCGTGGAAAGGTGAGGAAGACGGAATTAGTCAGGACGTAATACCAGTGCCTACCAGGCAACGAAATTCTTGCGAGCTCAAAAATGAATAGCCAGCGCAAAGAGCAAACGCTAGAGGCTCCACGTGTACGGAAATCTAGTAAATTCGCACTCGTCTCCCGAAATGCCAGTATGTGATACTTCTATTTCCGGTGACAAGGCGAGCGCCTCCATTCACCAGGCTTTGCGCGGTATCTACTTTACTTCACAATCCATTCGAAATGGCAAGCCTTCTCAACGGTACGCAGGTGGCACGCGCGCCACCAAGGGGGGCCATCTACCCCCACAGTAGACTCATTCATCGTCTATAGGTACAGTACAGTAGACCTGAAATAATCAGGCATAGCTGGGGGGTCCACAAGTCTTTGTTTTCATGCCAAGAATGTCTGACAGTCCTTCCTTGGCGGAGTTCATAAACTAGACATCCAAGTCAAAACTCCCTTACAGTATCCACCTCGCCCTTTCTACTTCTTATTTACCATGCCGTTGTTTCACATATTCGATGAGAGTTTGAATTTAAAATGGCCAGCCCTGGATCTACAGAAGTCCCAATGGAACCGACCTATGATGCACCGCATCATATCGCAATCATACACGACGATGTATGGAGACACTACAACAATATCGAGGTCGTAAAAAATCAAGGACGAGATCATCTTGGCGTGTCGTTCAGGTGCCGTCTTGAGAAACGCAGCCTTTGCGCGAAATCCCTCGTGGTCGTGAAACAAGAGCCAATGGACCTCTCGCACCAGATGAGATTTCTTAAAACACCGACGCATGATAACATAGCAAAATTGTATGCTGCATTCTGGAATGGCTCAATACTTTCCTTGATATATGAGGATATGGAGATCTCGTTGCAAGAATCGCTAAGCATTGACATGAACATTTGGATAGTCGAACACTGGGAGCAGTATAGTCAGACTGGATCCATTCTTAAGCAGGTACGTGCAATGGGGATTGAAGTAATGCCTTGCTGAGTCCTTGCAGATTGTTATGGCACTACAGTACCTACATACGCATGAAAAATGTGCCCATGGAGACATACAGCCAGCTAACGTCCTGCTTGATCTTCGGGGCTGCATTAAGATTGGTGAGCAATAATGAAATTCTGCCGACGTTTGCTAAGGACTTCTAGCAAATTTCGGGCATAGCATACTACAGCGGGTCACTGACTTGACTATTGACTATGGAGGGCTCGCGAAGACCTTCTTCGACATTATCCCTTCGGGAAGTCATTCGATAGACGTGTATCGAATGATTTATCGGCTATGCTCTCAAGGTGCTTTCGTTGAGATCTTAGAGGTAGAAATGCTCCACAAAGCCTCAAGATGGTTCTAACAGCGATGAATAGCACAAAATTACCAAACGAGCATGCAATGAAGACCTTATACCTCTAGTCATACGAACAAGAAACCTGAGAGATTATCATATAGAAAAATCCACTCCTAGACGGGTCGAGACCACGTGCAAGGAAGACCTGTCTCCAAGAGGTCTTGGGTCATCCAGGCTCCTTAGGCCACTTTTGCTACCTCAGCGCTTGGAAGATGGAAAACTTGAAACTATCGGAAGTTCTTAAGAGGTGCCTCAATTTTCTGGTGGAAGCCGTGGGAGGTTTGCGAGTACACTCCAGACGCAGCATAATAATAGACTTCCTATGCCGCTTTGATCCCGAGGCAACGACTACATGTCTTCGCCGAGATCCTGCATTGGGGAAACAGACTTACCTGCGAGTCGTGGACGAGTGCTACCAAAATTATCTATGTTCAGCCTATTAAGCGCCTGCACGGCGGGGTATTGGGCCACTACCAGCACATACGGTTTCGAAATGCACAGAGAGTTGCGCACCTCAGGGTTCCCGTACAGTATAGATGAGATCCATAAGATAATTGATGACCATTCGACTTACTCACGCATGGAAATTCACACGTCTCAAAGGCAGAGTGGTTGAAAGAGGGTCTAAATGCATCTTATATATTTCTCATACCCATTAATTGTCCGCCTTAGTGTGCCTGTGCTCTATGAATGGGCACATGTGTGCCGGCCATGGATCCTTCAGTGCTGTTAGTTGGCCCGTCGATGAGCACGGGCTATAAATAGAACTAATGCAGATTCTTGGGCACAGCGGGATCACACGCGAAGAGACGACGCCGAGCGTTAGGGGAAGACTGTAGGTAGGAGGACAGCGAAAGACGAGGCATCCACCGCCTGGTACGGCCCGCCAGCTTGCGTAGGTGGTGGTTGAGGGGAGAAAGGGACGGTCTCGGGGACGGCTGGTCTTTTGTTTACATGCGATTGCATCAGGCGAAGTGGGGTGTTCCAGATGATGTACATCCCCAGAATTGAATGCTCCCTCTGATATTGTGCTCCTCCAGTGTGCTCCGTGTGTCGTACAAATGAAACTTGTTTCAGTAACTTTTGCTGTGGCTCCTGCCTGTCTGCGACCGTATACCTACAGTCTCCCCCTAATGACAGACATTGTCTATTCTGTTGTTGCCCTTGACCCTCAGGGCGTGCTTTTATTCCTCCTAGTGTGCTTTCCATCTATTCTCGTTGACTCCCACTAGGTTCCGAAGGTGGCCGTGTGTGTACATCTGCGTCGGGTCGGCGACTCTAGCAACAGTATTCTCTCTCGTTCAGCTCGACAGACGCAATGCTCCGCCCGTGCAAGGCGTCGAATTACGAAGTATGAGAGCTCCCTCTTACATCTCCTCAGACCATGTCCGGTGTAACGAGAGATGACGAGTCTCTCGTCACGGTTGGGGGGCGACAGTGGGCAAGGCGGTCCGGTGGCCCATAGTATTGTGTGGTACCGATCGTAGCGTACCGGGTGTCTGGTGTTCGATTCGCGAGTGAGATGATACCGTTCTGTTCGAGGGCTTGTCGATACGGGACGTCGCAAACATTGTCGGGTTTTTCGATGGGCGGTAAGTAACCCATCTGCTGCTGTATGTTATGACCATTGTATTGTAGGTGTTTGGGCTCGGTCATCGCGTCCGTGTTGCTTAAGATTGAGTTCCGATACTTCCGCCGTCGACAACCCGTATTAACGCGTCGTGTTTGAAGAGTGCTCTTGGTATTTCGTCGACCGTGTCTACCGCGACCGCGACGGTGACTCTGCAGGGATCATTCTGACGCGGAGGGTCGCGCAGCGACCTGCAGAGGTCGTCACGGCCGCGGACAGACGTGTTGTGCACCGTGATACGACTGATGATTTCCAAAGATCGAGTTACTCGCTTCGTTGGTTGTTTTCCGCAGACGAATCATGCGCGCTGTTTCGGTGTTGGCGCCTCGATGAGTCAGCGCCAGACAATGTCCCCAAACACCTCGTTTCCAGCGGCTACGCTCTTTCTTCATCGAGCAGTATTCTCGTTCGTATCTGGCTTTCTCAATACCGTATCAACTGTCAATAAACCAGCTGGTCTACAGTATGAGCACTCGTCTCATTCCATCGGCCGCCGTGTCTACCTTCAGAGACTCTTCCGGACTCCCTGTGCCTCCCTCGGCGAGTAACAGTAACACAGACGAACTCGCTCCAGCAGGCCAGCGAATCATACGTAAAAGCTCCCGCACACTTTCCCAGAGGGCAGCTAGCGGTGAAGTAGGCGCTCGATTGGACTCTCTGTCCATGGATGACGTAGAGCGCGCCCTTAGGAAGACTCAACTGCCTGACACTGAGGTGTCTCTGCTCAGTCTGCTTCAGAAGCCAGAGACGAATCAAGCGGACGTTGTCAAGCAGATCCTGAATCACATGGCTGATCACGCAGAAGAGCACGCACTACAAATGGCATTGGTGTGGCGCTACGCAAAAGAGCATGAAGTATGGAAGAGCTGTACAAATCCAGATTGGCGAACCGAAGACTCCTTTCTAGACAGTCTCGACGGAAACCAGACCGTAAGACTATGTATCCAGTTTGGGACGTCCACGGACGTCGCACGCCGGGGAAAGATCAACATCATCCGGCGAAACTGGGGAGAGGACTGGTATGATCATGCGCGTCAGAAAGACCTCTTTCCGCCTGCGGAGCGCGGAGCAGCAAGTCTCTCGAAAAACATGCTTAGACTCATCGCCAGTGTGAGCAGCTCTGTACATCTAAGCCAGGCATTAGAATTTCTAGAGCACGCTATACAAGACCGGACAGCGATTGGATCGCGGAAATCTTTGGGCTGGAAAGCTGCAACGACGACCTATCTTATGCTTTGCGACGTGCAGTTACTAATTGCGCACATTGAGGAACATCGGCCAACGTCTGCGACGAAGACGCCGCACAAGACACAGTCTGCGGGCTCAGATGAAGAATCTCTGGAGTTAATTAGCTCAAAGGGCATATCAAGTCTCTCTTCTTTTGAAAGCTCTATGCAGTTAAGAAGTGAGGCAACTCGTTCAACAACAAGGGCGAGAGGGAAGCCGCGGCCGCCAGGCAAGGGGAGAAAAGCGAAGTCCCAGACGACAGATGATATCCAGCAGCTGCGAATGCTTCTCCAAGAGGAAGCGGCGAGGAGATCTGGAGAAAGACAGCCACGGAGCATCGCCAGCAACAACAGCGACATACAAGTGACCGGGCAGGAAGGTCGGAGCAGCGAAACAGTCACGGCGACTACGGCGTCACAGGCAGGCAAGCGGAAAACCGTCGAGCCCTTGCAACTGGACAATGAGACCTCTCGTGAGAAGAGAGCTCGGATACGAATGGACCGGCGACAGTCAATACTGGACGTCCCCAATCCGCCTCTTGCGGGTGTAGATGGCAACATAATCACAGCCATACCTCGGCAGGGGCTTCCACCAAATGGTCGGCAAGACCATTCAACGGCTACAGACACGCAGGTTGACCGCGCCCAAGAAGAGAACATGGATTCGCATGTCGTGAGAGACATCGCGCCGCCACGAGATTCCAGGCGTCAGAGCTCTACAAATTCTCCTACGGCTGAATTCGTCGAATCTGTTGCTAATGCGAGCGCCTTCGCACGTTTGGAACAAGCTACTGGTCCTAGCGAAAAGCAACAGGACCAACCTCTAGACTCTGACAACACTTGCGCATCATGTGCTGGAAATTGTTTGGTCTGCGAGATACCATCAGGTTTTAAGGAATTAGAGCGTCGAGACCTATATCTGGCTGCCCACCGGGCCTTGGAGCTGGAGGCGGAAGCCCCTAACGCTACAGTGCGCAAATGGATCAAGCCCATCAGATACGCCAGTTGGAGCGTTGGATTACTCCAGGGTCCTGGAGAAGTGTGTTTATTGTCGGAAAAGAGCTTCTTATCTCAGATGAGGGGGAAAGGCCCTCTATCGCGGCCCATCATTATTAGAGACAGCTTCGATGATGCCGATGAATGGTCTGCGACGAGGTACGCGGATCAGCTGGATATGGCTTTTGCCGACCTGGAAGTCGACGTCCGTTGGCATCAAGTCCCGGAGCCAGTGAGGGAAAAGGTCCCTAAAATGAGCCGCCTGTGCCGGGCCTCCCCACCCACCTTGTTGGGAAATCCACCTAATATGCTGAATCTACCGGACCTTACTGGAGCCATCGCGCCGGCCTTTCTTCGACAAGATCGATTTCGAATGCTAGATCTCTTAATCGAGCGCTGCAAGGCAGATTCTATCAAACACTTGGGGAAGCAACTTCATCTGTCGCCTTTTGACGTGGGAGGCAGCCGAAGGTTCAATATTCTTGGTTGGCCAGGTGCATTCTCTGGTGCTCACGTGGACAGCACGGGAGCGACATGGGTCCGCAATCTCTTTGGACAGAAGCTTTGGATGTTTGTGCCCGAGGATCTAATGACTCCCGCCGACTGGGAAGAGCTTGCAACAGACGGTGATGACTGGAACCCTGGCAACAAAGCCCGAGCCGTTGTGCTACAGCCGGGAGATGTGTTTGTGATGAGACCTGGTCTTGTCCATGCTGTATACACGCTCGGCGATTCCGGACCTAGCCTAATGATAGGTGGATTCTTCTTGGACAACTACGATCTCATTCACACTCTCCAAACATTTTACAAAATTGGGAAGAATCAACGCAGTACGAATGAGCCTATTTCCTATCAGTTCGCACATATTATCTGGAGCTTGGAGCGCATTATTCGAAGGAACTCTGCACCATACTTCTCGACTCCAGAGGATCTAGATGTATTTACGGACTTGATAACAAAACTTCGTGGACTCGGCTGCGATTGCTCAGAGTGTGACGAAGAATGCATGTGTGCACGTGACGGTCGTCGTTGTACGCCGCTCTGCTTGGTGCACATCTTTGGTGATGTGGGTCTAAGGTCTTGCATGTCGGAATAACAAGGCTCTCTCTGTCAAGGAGAATATGGTAGGAGTAGATGGCTTGACCATTAGGTTGGGTAGAGTACTCAATGCAATAGAGTGAGTTGTCGTGATTGTTATATATCACTGCTTCACCCCATAGAGGCGATTTACCGAAAAGCCGGGTGTGGCGAAAAGCGGAACTCAGCCCTGATGCAGATCATCTCGTTTCGCTAGGCCCCGGGCTCCATTCCTGTTCAAAGTCCCCGAGATGCATATCCATAGTCTGCTAAGGTTAATCCAGCTGAATCTGAATTCGCGAGGCTTGGCGGTGGACAGGACTGCGAGTAAGAACAAATCTGCTGCTGGCTTAGCACTGTTAACATTTTGGCGATTTGCAGTTATGAGTCGACTTACACTGCTTTTAATCTTTTCGCGAATAAAAATTGTAGACTCAATCGCATGCATCCCAAGTTCCGAGCATTTCCGAGTATGTCTGGCACCATATGGTACAACTTGCAGGGATTGCGAATTCATTCTACTGTCCCAAAAGAAGCAAGCCTCGAGATGTCACTCTCGAGTACGGTATACTATATGTTCAAGCGCCCACGCCACCCGGCACGCAGGCTGTTTCACACTGGACAGTATGACGTGTGTCCAACCGAAGCCGCCGCCCAATCAAGGCTCACAGTCCTTTTCACGTGACTGGCTTCGCAACATCTTGCCCGGCGCGTCGCGAAACAGTCATTCATTTCTCAGATGCCCTCATGTGCACGTTCTGTCCACATACATGATTTTCGCTAGCTCTATGAGCCCGAGAAGGAGTTTTTATTTCTGTCAGCGGATGGAAAGCTTTCGTTTCATCATATAAACCCATTCCCGAACACCTCAAGACGATGCAGGACAATCCTCGCAAGCGGAAGCACTCACTTCCTTCACCACCATCAAGCGGGCCTGTACGTCAGGTATGATCGCAGAGCTTGTATATGTCAGGCATAACACCAGACTAACTCATAGAGTAAAGACGAAGCTAGGGACCTCACCACCAGACCGCCGCAGGAGGCAGCACACTTGCGACTATACCGAGTCTCCCCGTGGAAGAACGCGCCGACGGATCGCCGACGAATACAATCCGGATCCAGCTCAGTCACCAGAGCCCTTGCGCAAACGTTATAGAGGAGACCTTGAAAGAAGCCCGCGGGAGGAACTAAATTGCTGTGCGCAAGGCGCAGAAGAAGCAGAACCAATCCAGCACTGGGTTAGGTCCGGCAAGTGGCCAAAGCATATTGGAGAAATGACCGATCCTGAAAGCGATGGATCAAACAAGAGGCGTCGGTCCAGCACGCCGAGTTATTCGAGCCGCAGAAGGAATGGAAGCGCTCCGCCCGCCCACACTGCTGCATATGAGGAAGAGCTACAACGTCATGGGATAATGTTTGATGATCTGAACACAAAAGATTTGGTGACTGCGGAGAGCAAGGACTTATGCCGAGATCTATTAAGTTCGGTGTTCGATCCCGCGTATAACGCCTGCTCCGAAGAGACGTACATCAGACTATTCCAACGAGCGAGCAAATGCAGCGAGGAAAGGGTTCGTCGCGATCTTACTCCTCACATTGTGCCTTCGGCGGAGCTCCTGTACGTAGTCGACCGGGAGACCATTCTGGCAAACGTGCGGGAAGAGATGTCGGGAGATTGGACAAAATGCAGCCTGCTCGGCGGTACCCAGCCAAGGCCTGACTACGCATACGGCTTATCATCGGCGACTTTCACAGAAGAAGAGCGTGCTAAGCTGGAAAATTACACGAACATTAACAACCCCACCAAGTTTACGGATTTCATGTACTTTCCGTTCCTCCTATGCGAGGCGAAATGCGGGAGAAGGAACATAAACGATGCAGACCGACAGAACGTGCATAGCGCCAGCATTGCGGTCAATGCCATCATTCAGCTGTGTCGCGCTGCCGGAGAAGACCACGCTCAAATCCTTAGCGGCCAAATCCTCGTTTTCAGTATTTCCCACGACAATGAAAGGGTCAAGATCTACGGCCATTTTCCTCTCATCCGAGATGGTCGTACGACGTTTCACCGATACTATGTCCACAACTATAGCCTCGACGGTCATTACGGTCGAGACAGAGACACAGGGTCAAATTTTACTCGAGCTGTCTACCGCGACTTCTATCCTTCGCATCTGAAAAGACTGCAGCAGGCTGTCGCGCGCTTATCCGATCCTCGGACAACATCAGTGGTTTCTGACGTCAGCGTTGACGAAGGTGAGGCGCGAGCGAGCGAACAGTCCTCGCAAGAGCGGGATTCCTCGCCCAGACCGTCATTTCGTCGAGCCAAAAGTCAGGGAAGTCAAGGGGAGTTAACATTGATGAAACAACAGATGGCAAAGTTGGAACAGATGCACAAAGCTCAGCTAGAGCAACAGAAAGAGGAGAGTCGGAAGCAGATGGAGCAACAGAGGGAGGACAGCCAGAAGCAGATGCAGCAGCAGAGAGAGGAGAGTCAAAAACAGATGGCTTTGCTGGAGAGGCTGCTGAACCGGGAACAAGGCAGTCAAAAGGACGGCGCTCGATTTCGAGAATCTCCGAGCTCACGATCCTGAAGGGGATTGGGGGGGCAGGGGCTCGAGCGACGCTGGTTTACTGGATCACGTGATGCTATCACGTGGCCCCTGGGAGAAAAAAGTTCGATTGCAACAATTCCTCCGACTTCAGCGCCGTTTCAAGCATATACTATATTTAATTCCCAAAGTAGAGTACATGTCTGATTCGGGTAACTTATGTTAGTCTCCCGCCGATCTGCTTGTGCAGGTCATCTAGCGAATCAGTAATGCTACGGACGCACACCTCTAGGATTGGCAATCTGGTTGAGATTCTAGTATGCTCTTATTTAGTGTATGCTCTAGGACAATTTCTCGCTGCTAATGACATAGAGTAACTTACTTCTTCCGTTCCTCCTCCACTTCTTTAGCAGGGCTCACATGTATATCCCGTAACTGCAACTCTATAGTCTCGGCGTTCTTGGAGATCTCCCAAAACAAATTGTGACAAGAAGGGGGCAAGACTTCTGTCTTACAAGCATGGTCCAATTCAGATGGCCAAAATCTGGATCTCCGGCAGATTATAGAAAGCCTAGAAACGTCGATCTCTATATCTGTTGGGGGCGGCTTAAGCACCTCGTTTGGAATATCGTCAAGCGACAGCTGGCGCAGCTTTATGTCAAGCCCAAGGCCCTTAAGTCTTTCCAGATGCCCAGTTAATACCGCCTTCAATAGACTTCCGAGATTTTGTAGAGTACCTTCCAGAGGTGCTGGCGTCTTGTCCAATGTAGTTCCAGATCTAGAGCTCCCTTCCATTTTTACGTAGAGTACCAGGCGTTCTGACGACAGGACAGAAAGTGACCACAGAGTAAGAGTAATTCGTTAAGCAGTGAGGTAACAGGTTCGCAGAAACTTCTCGAACTGCACGGCCTGCGCCACCATCGCCACGGGATCCAAGCGCCACACTTCACCCTAATTGGACCTATCGCTTACACATCGTCGATCATAACGCTAAGTTTGTCAATCACGGTTCTTCACTAACCTAGAACTTGCCTCGCTATGGAAAGTACCTATTAGCGTAGCGAACTTGCATTCGTGATCGATGTAAGGCCGCTATGAACCCAAGGATGAGCTTTGAATGCATAATCAAGGCTGTCCGCGCACCGCACCACTATGCGATGTGTCTTGTCTATTGGAATACCTTACGTATCAGAGGGAAGAGGACACACAGTCTAAGTCTCTGACGGATACTGTGTCAAAAAGTCATTTTGTGGCCTAATTGGCCCTTTGTCTTTGATGTGAGACATGGACGCCATAGGTCATACGGCAGTCGACATGATTATCTGCCTTGTGTGACCAGAGACTCGATATGCCGTGAGTAACGCTCGAACTAGTGCCCCGAGATAGGATCAGACGGATGCAAGTACCACTTCTGCTGCATGCCCTGTGGGCAATGTGCCTGCATGCACGAAGGAAGCCATCATGCTCAGGCAATGTCGAGACGCGCAAAGGGCGCACAGCCTTGTCATCATGTCTAAGCCTGTCGATGGCTGTTTGAGGTCAGACCTTAAGAGGACTCTTCTCCGGGCACGGCTGAAGCTAGAAACACGGTACATGTGGACCTCAACGTAGCCGAGTCACAAGGTATAATTCTCGAAATATACCAATCCCTCCTCCCCGGGGTGACTCTTTTATCGGAGCGCTTACTAGCTCCCTTATCACAGCGTTACGCCGCGCCTAGAAGCGAAGCGCCCACGGTGTTCGTCGGACTGCTATTCTAGAAGTTAAATCCACGCAAGAGTGAGTAAATGACAATGTTAAGGACTTCTGCACTGTGATCATCGACATTGCGTCGCACTAATCGATTGCATTTCCAAGCTATGGACTGTGGGCGTCGATTGTATGCTGGTGTGTGTGCTGATTACAGCGCCGCAAAGTCAGACAATGCGAGGAACACTCCCTCGAGCATACTTCCCACATGCGTCCTGCCAATGCCTTCGCCATTCTTCCGAATCTTCATGATCTCCTTCAAGAATCGCGGTGCGAGAAGCGCTCCTTGTGCTTCGTCGCTCGCTTGGAGGATAAACCCATCCGCAGCCAGAGTGCAGTGGCTGTTAGCTTTCGTCGAAGCCAATCCGAGGAATTCGCATGCTCTTTGGTAGTCTTCTAGTGAATTGAAGTACAACTGACCTGAAAACAGATTGAGTTGCGTCAAAAGCGAAGGTCGTACTACCCGTGGCTCCGGAAGTGGAGGAACAGTAAAGAAATGTAGATCATCCAGTGAACGAAAGCCGACGTTCCAGCGTGGCTTGTATACATGCAGGACGACCGTCGAGCTCTGGCAAATGTGAGGATAGAGCTGCTGCGCCTCGTGCGGACTGACGGCCATCACGCAGTCCACAACATTGCTGTCAGCAGAAGCACTCGTTAGTATCCACTCCACGGATCGTTGGTACGCGTCTGACACGTTGGAGGCGCCGGCCTTCTTGACGGTGCGGGCGAAGTCTGCTGTAACAAGGAGGTCCTTTTTCCCTCCAAGCTGCGACACATCGAAAGAGGTTGCAGCTCTAATGTCGGAGAATACCGTGAAGGCCGGCATATAAGCCTTGGAGCTGGGTTTGACCACACCAGTGGACACGAACGTTCTCATGTCGGGATGGATGTGGTGTTCTGCGGGATCGACCGCAGGCGGTCGCTGCACTTGTCGCTCTTGCTGTATCTCAGGAGACAGTTCCCTTTCTTGCTCCTCTTGTAGTGTGCTGCCATGGAATTCCAACTCTTCGAATTGAAGACAACGGTTCGCGATAAGATTGTTCCTAGGGTTACTTGAACTGGCCAAAGTCGAGAGAGCTGCGGCGCTTGCTTCCCTTGGCCGATAACGGGATTCTAAGCCTTGTGCTTCATCTTCCAGGAATTCATGTGCCCATTCACGAGCCAGACTCGTCTCGCCAAGATTCCGCGCGCCGTTCCAGAGTGATTCTTGTCGGATAAATCGCTGTCCCTGAACTGCCCACAAGGGCATCATGCGCCGGACTTCGGAGAACGTCTCGCAAATCGACCAGTGAAGCACATCTGACACGCTAAGCTCAGCTCCTTCTCGAGTCGCTGGACGGCTCTCTAGTATCTTCGTACGAATTTCTTCCGTTACGCAGAAAACCACAGTCTGCCCTTTTCCCAGCTTCCTCATTCTCATGCAAGCTACGACAGTATTTAGTTCTGGCCTGATTTATTTTCGCCGATGCACTCACCCTGTACAAGACGGTCTTTCGTCAAGTTCGCTCCAAGTGTTACGGCCGCGCGATAGTCTTGAGGCAGCCGCAAGTCTGTTCCGCGCGTGTGAGCTTCGTCAAGGAAAACCAGACAGGTTTCGAGTTGATTCGCAAAGGCCGATGTCTGCAGAGGCTCTACAAACCCTTCCCGATTCATAACCACGATCTCATCGTTGTCGTTGAAAAACACGACTCCACGAGTATTCTCTGTGGCGTGCATGCTCAGCCAGGTACGCGCGACTTCCTGGTTGTTCATCTCCAGAATCTGTGCGCCAACGTCGAGGATCACGCGAGGTGGAGGCGTGAAGCTTCAGACCGTCGACAGTAATCGTTCAGCGTCGGGTAATTGGCGGTCTCCCGCAGAAAGGAAGGCAACGGAATTCTCAGCCTGTAGGAGGTAGTCCAATACCAGAGCATCAGTGTGCTGCTGATTCGGAAGATCCAGATATGTGACGTCTAAAGGAAGCAACGCTCGGGAGTCACTGGTTCCACTGAACGCTGTGGTTGGATGGTCCTTGATCTTCCCGATGTCCCATCCTGAAGCAGACAATTTGTAAGGAAACTCTTTCATTTCTTTCGGGAAAACAATGTGAGAGAGGAAGTAGTCGACGACGCGCTTGTTGAAGCGGAGGGCCGGAAACACGAGGGATTTGCACTGCGCTCGGTCTTTTAGGTTGATGCCTTCGAGTTGGCGGAACGTAGGAGGCAGCTCAGGTACACCTTGGATCCAGGTCTGGAATTCGACATCTCTCTGATCAGTGTCCAGGAGATGGGCGAAAGACGCAAACAGGTGATCGTCCGTTAGACCTCCGTAATAGTAGCACAGTGAGGTCAGAAGGATGACTACGTCAGGGTGGCTGAATTCGGAACGAGAAGTGGGCATGTCCTTTGCGCGATAAGGTACCGCCAGTCTGGTGGGTGGAGTGCGGGAGGTGTCGAGCCCATAATTCACACGCCATCGCTTTCGGCCAAATACGAACCCCAGAACACCTCCAGCAAGGAGGCCTCGTAGCAAGAAGAGCGTGGGCCGGATACTTTCCGTAAAAAATCCACCAGGGCCAGCATTCTCGACGAGACCAATCTCTTCGTTGGTCACATCAGGCTTTGTCATGTACGCGAGAACTGCATCCTGAACAGATTGCGGTTGTGTAGCAATCGGAAATCCTGGAAGTCCGGTATCGCAGATTTTCTGGCCGACGATATCTACCAGGGGACCCACTGCGTGTAATCTGATCCTCGGAAATCGACCTGCGAAGGTCTGCTGGATCTCCAAAGAAGAAGGGACGCTATCGATGACCGAGATCGCGGCGGCATTCACTACATCCAAGATCTGATGGATGCATGACCAGCGATCTGGACTCATGTCGATAGATCGCTGCAGGCCCATGGTGTAGATGAGTTCAAATTTGACGCTGAAGTTTTCGTCGCTCTCGTCGACAATATCTCGAGATCGTTCATCGAAGAAACGCTGCGTTTGCACCAGCGACCGGCCCACGGAGTCGTCGCCGAGGGAATATCGCTCGAGACCCATCAATTGAAAGGAGAGTATGTGCTCTGGCTGCATGAGGAGGATGCCGCCACCGGCCATGCACTCTCTGGAAATCCTGTCGACCTCCTCTGCTCCGGCCTTATCGAGCTTGAGGCTACGGGAGTTGGGAAGATGGTAAATTTGGCGATTTAGCATGCCGCCAAGCTTGGATATCAGCATCTGTGCCGTTTGCTTCGCTTGCGGCTTTCCAACGACGACGCGGACAAGTTGAGCTCCATTTGCGAGAGCCGCCGCCACCATCGGCACGATGACGGACGATTTGCCTTCGCCCATGTTGAGTTGCATCGACGTGTTTTGACGAGATTCAGGACTCCGCATCTCCCTTGCGATCTCCTCTTGAACGTCTCGAATCATGATGTTGCTCTCGACTTCAAGTAGTAAAGACTCTGGATACTGAAGAGGATCCCAGTTACGATGCCCGGTGTTTTGGATTTCGGCCACAACGTCACTGCTCCTGCCAGCCCGAGATGCAATAACCATGCGCTTCGCTTTTTGAACGAGGCCCAGGGCAAGCCCGTACGATGTGACACACTCTTTCCATTCGTCCGTCAGCCTGGCCCAGCCATCTCGTCCTAGCTGCTCGAGGAACAGCATCGGACAAATCCTTGGCCACTGCCGAGACTCTACAGTCGATTCGATCCAAGGGTAGGCGGACACCGGATTGACCGCCGCCGTCATGGCGTCAAACATCTGTTGCATTTGCAATCGACAGCACGTCAGGTGAGCGTCTAGGTAGCTGAGAGAGGGGACCTGTCCCGATTCTCGACGGCTCAGTCGCCGCAAGGAATCAAGACTGGCCTTCAGTCTTTCGACATACTTTCTCTCGTACTGGGAAGAGTTCACTCCCTCACTAAGCTCGGCAACGAACGTTTCGAGCTGTTGGGGCTGGGTCGTCTCGTTGATATTCATTGACATTGGTTGAATTGGCTCGCAGCACTTAAGCAGACGAGGTGCCGGTCTCTGGAACAAGTCGGCAATGGCGACGATGCCCGTGTGTCAGCGTGGCATGGGATACGTTGCAGTGCCTGCTGACGTAGATTGACTTGGCTGGTCTCGAAGCCGGAGATCGTCTCCACAACGGTTTGAAGGTAGGAAAAGAGCTGTCGATTGTCGAAGCGGGTCTTGAAGATTATCTTCACGGCGGCCATAGTACCTTCCATGTCCACATACGACGACTCGTCATGAGCACTGCCCGCAGAGGGCCTGCTCGGGTGAGGCGTGGGCCATTGATCCCGGAGGAAAGATACCAATCTGTCCACTGCTAAATGCCGGTGACTTTTAAACAATTCCTGTTGGCGCTTGCCATATTGCTTCCTGGACTCGCCCTGGACTTGCGCCAGTTTGGCGTCGGGTGAGTTGTGGAATGCCTGTAGATGTAAGTGGATCTCCTTTTCCAGTCTGGCTTTGGACACCGAACGTCCTTCAGCTACTTGGAATGATGGAAGTGATGGTGGAGTGACCACTTTCAGCTCGTCGCAGTTGTATAGGAGCACCACAGTCTCAAGTATCGCCTTCTCTATAAGGCCAGAGCAAGCCATGGCAGACAACCAAATCATCAGACCATATTTGTTGACGCTCGGGCGTTGCTGTCCACTCAGTACCCGGTGTAAAGCAGGCCAATTGCCAGAAAGGAAGGAACCCCGGTCTTGGAGGAGCATGCCGTCATATTTGACCTGCGACAAATCTACTGGACGTTGAGGTCCAGAGACCTCTGTTGCACGACACAGAAAGTCCCAGAGACATGTGGCCGACGGAGGTCTAGAGTGCAAGGTGCTGCGACCATTGTGGACCAGACTGCAGAACTCGTAGGCGCTGCGTTGTCGATTGGTTCGCGCGTTTCGATCCCTGGATTGGTAGGTGACGTCGTGCTCGCGGGTGTAATCTTCTGCTCCATATCCAAATATGCGCCAGACCGACGATCTGATACACTCTCTCTGCAGGAGGAGTGGTTCAACGTCTCGTATCGTGGGCAAGTCGACCTCGGAATTGGGGTACAATACCTGGTATCGCTTCGCGTCGTGAAGTAGTGAAGTCGCAATCTGGTAGAAACGAGGGTGCTGAGCCATGAACCCAAGCTCTGTGCGCCAACTGAATGTCTGCATGACACGCTCATTTCTTGGGTAGTACGCTCTTTTTGGCGTCAGCTCGGCTATGCGCGACAGAAGGTCTATGTTCTCGTCTGACAGCTGATCGAAGGATCGGACGGCAGCAGAGCTCAATATGCTGATTGCTTGCTCTGTCCCAGTCCTCTTCGTTAAAGGGTCAGGTAGGCAATAGGACGTGAGTGCGTGAAGATAGGCCAGGAACAATTTGCTCTGTGTACTGCCATTGTCCACGAGTCGTTCGAGACAGGTGTCAACATCGAAGGAATGCCAACGCGTGACGGTCTGACGGCTCACAGAGGTCTTCGAGTAGTATAGACCAGTGTCATCCCCGTTGCATGGTATCCGATGGGAAGTCTTGACGCACGTCCTGCCCTCGATGACTATGATTTTCCGAACATCGTCGTGCTCTTCTCTTAGCATGAGCTTGTTGCGAAAGCCCACTAACGTCCCAAGCGTCTGGTCAGGGTCGACGATCATGCCTCGGAATTCACGACATCGTAGAGTCGTCTCATTTTGTATGAGATGAAACGATAGTCGCAGAGTCGGTAAGTTGACGTCCAGGAAGGTTGAGGAAGACCCAGCAACACAATGGATTGATCGCGGCTGTGCAAGTGGAGCAAGAATACTGGCCAGCAGAGTTGCTGTCTCGCTCTTCATGCTCACCAAAAGACTCCCATTTCTTGGGAGCATTAGCGCCCACTTGGAGTCATCGCGTTTTTTGCCATTGTCAAGGATTCCATTGTACCTGGAAAGTACCCACTTTTCAGTGGCTTGAGCATTCCAGGCCGCCGCGACGGGACGGAATTCCACATTCCCAGTGGCATAGTCGTACCAGTGGATGAAATCATCCACAAAAGAATCCGGGAAATGCTCACGAAACAGTCGAGCGGGTATGAACTCGAACTTGGCTCTTGATTTTCGATCGAAGATCTGCATCATGAGCTCCTTTGAGACTGGACCTTGTGAAGTTGTCAGGCCGAAATGGACCTCACAGCCGCGGTGCTCTCTCTTGCTCGAGAAACGCATTCCTGCGACATTTGATGGCATCACCTCCACAGCTGACTTTCCGAAAAGGACTTGGTAGCTTGAGTGCTCCTCATATTCAGAGGGGAGGCGGTCCAGCGGCTCGCCGTTGACAAGCAGCTCGCCGCTGATCAGATTGTAGTGGACCATCAAACCATCATCCCGTGCGGTGGTCGTGGTACATGTGGCAGTCCAGTGATCGGAGCTCTCAGAAATGTGCCAGTGTTGTGCTGGTCGATAGGCAGACCACGACTTTGCAATGGCATCGTGAAGCCCCTCATGATCCGCGGCTATGATGTGACGGGCATCGTAGAGGAGTCGCTGGTGCCGCGAATGTAAAAGCTGTGTTTGGGTGCTGTTTGTGGCTTCGAGAGAATGCCTGCCATCAAAAACAATGATGCAGCACTGTACAAAAGCTGAGGCAGCCGTGGGAACGGCCAAGATCGTTGGTAAGTGCACTCGTTCAACGTCGAAACTACTTGCGCACGTGAGGGCGGCTTCCACGCTCCTAGCCAGTAGTTGTTCGCGATCGGTAGCATCTGCCTCATGTGCTTTGTTTTTCAAAAGATGTGCCCATCCAAGCGAGACTGCAGATGCCCTTTCCAGGTACCGCAGACAAGCATCTTTGATTTCGTTGGACGAGCTCAGCGAGAGGAGACGCCGCGCGACGGCGATGAAGACAGCCAGAGCTTGCGAAGATTCCCAGTTCTGCTCGACTCGTTTGAGTGCAGCATCGAGATTTTCGATCAGGACGGCCGGGAATTCGTTCGTGCTCAACAGTTGGTGGCTTTCTCGTAGTGTACCTTCTTGCCCGTGCCGGGGTCCAGTTTGGTAAATGCATTGTAACAACACAAGTGCAGTCTCTGGTTTCTTGAAATCGATGGAAGGGTGACCTAGCTGTACTGCAATATCCATCCATTGGAGACGATAAGCCAGAGGGATAGAGGCCAGTTCCTTAAACTCGTGCAGGGACATGTGATCAGGACACTCTGACTGGTTTGCAATGACCGCATTTGGGGGCGGGCCGTTCGGCAGCCGTGCAGGTCGGAAGATGTACTTTTGCAGCGCTTTAGATCTACCCGGTAGCACATATGTGCAGGATCGAGGTAGCTTCTCGGTGTAGACAACGGGAGCAAGAAACATACTCCTGCTGCTGTCATAATATTGGTAGGTCAGCCCGCTCTGGAGGCAGACATCGCGCTCGGTAGCCGTGGACACAACCCTGCCTCTGCGATGAGTGCCTATGTGAGGTTTGTTCTGGGACAGAAGCCCCACGCGCTGGGGGTAGGCATCGTGGGGAGGTGAGAAGAAGGCGTGTGCGAGGTGTGGATCCTCACTCAGACGATGCGATGATCGTGGCTGCTGCGTATCGGTGTATTCGGCCCCTAGTACATTGAGCCGCAATTCCATGGTACTGTCGCGCCAGTGCGCGAACCATGCCGGTACACACAGCTCGAAGATCACCGTTTTGACTTTGGCATCGTTCGCTGGCAGCGGCCATTCAAAGACTTCAATGCTGAGTCTATCGGCTTGGGTCTTGTACTGACAGCGAGCACATGTAGTAGGGTGATACTCCTCGGTCAGTCCTGAGCTGTAATTGGTGATACGTTCGTAGACGTCGCAGCTGGTCTGGTGGTAGAGCCGCATAAGGCCTGCGTACTCGTCCTTCACTCGACGCAGTTCATTAAGCTTCGAGATCCGTGCCGCTGCAGCACGGTCAATCACACGTTGACGCAGCGCCTGGTGGTCAGCAGATTCATCGAAATATCTCGCTGCGAAGCCGTGCGGATCATCAGTAGTCTCGAAGAGCTGAGTCGACGGCTGGCGACCCGGTGCGGTCAACGATGTAGTCTTCGACCGCCATGAGCCTCTCCATTTGCCTTCGCAAAGGTAAGAGAAGACTCTGCAGCAAGTTCTTGGATATTCCCGGCTCATAGTCATCCAGCAAAGGGCAAGTCGCAATCGCCATCTTGTCGCATGCCGTCCATAATTCTAGCATGACGAGGATCATGACGGAGGTGGCCTCGGCATTTCCAGAATAATGTGGTGTCGCAAGATGGTGATATCGTCTCATCAACTGAGCAAGCTGACCGCAGGCAGCTAAATCGTTGCCGTGCTCCTCGGCCCAAGTAGAGAGATAGGTTCCAACCCAAGTTTCGAAACCGTGTAGGTTCTGGACAACCACACTCCCCTCAACGGTGTGGCTGGCGAGATCTGGCAGGACATGAGCATGGTATGTGATCAACTTCTGAACTGGACGAAAGTCGCTGTTGCGAGACTGCGGCTGTCGAGACTGGAGTGACTCGATGAACTTGTCAAGACCGTCAAGGTCCAGTCGTGTGTCTCGGTTGAAATTCAAGGCCGAGAGCTGCATCATGTCTACCGTGCGAGCCCCGGAATGCTGAACTTCCAGCCAGCGACTAGTCATCCTCTTATGCGCTTGGCATGTGGCTTTTCGGACAGACTCCAGGACGAGGGGATTGATGTCGGTCCCCGTCTTCAACAGGCGGCGTGTTAACTTTGCAGTCATGACGTACAAAAGGTCAGTCTCAATGGGATGTTTTGCCGACTTCTGCAGAACATGCGATACGAAGAATAGAATGAATTGTTTGTACAGTTTAGGTCCGTCGTTCGCCTTCGCCGATTGCGAGAAGCCCAGTTGAAGTGACACCCGGAGAAAAAGCCAAAATGGAGACCGTCGCCAAGGAAATCGTGCATCTGACCAGAGCACTTCCTCCCGGGTGTTCTTGGCGATGACTTCGACGTCGACATAAGTGCCAAGGGCTGTGACGAAGCCGTTGAAGAATCCGGTCACCATGTCCGGGTCCGTCGTGTCTCGGTCCTCGTCGTGCATTTGTCCAGCCTTTTTGACTTGAGGTTGTAGACCTGGGACACTTTGATGGCTCATGAGGCTTAGGGTATGTGCAATGACCGTCTGGAAGTCCACCTCGGCTGCTTGACAGAGTTCAACTGATGTAGCAGACGCAGGGAAATGGCGGATGAGTCTTCCCTTCGTGGTCATCACGGCTTTGTTGAGAGGGGCCAATTCGAAGGTTTCGAAGTGGATGTTTTTGTCAACCTTGCGTATAATGACGCCTGCATTCTGGGCATGAATGTGCAATGGAAGGAATCCTCCTAAGAAATGGTTAGCGAACGGCATGGATTCTGTAAAGCCGCAATGTACCATGGTCGACAACGTTCTGCAGAGCGTCCCGCAGCTGATCTTCCATAACTGCATCTGTAGACAAAGAGTGGACTTTCTTCAGGTTCGAGAGCATGTCTATCATCATTTCGACAGTCACCAGTTGACTGTCTTTGAAAAAACCCAGGTATATCTCCAACGCCTCGACAACCGTATCCAATAACGCATCACCGACGCCACAAGCAGTGTCATTTTTTTGGGGTAGTTTAGGTGGAAGAAAGACGTGATTGACAAGGTCAAAGAAAACATCGCGAGAAAGCATAGTGACGGTCCGGTATTGACAAGTTTTCTGTAAGCTGCCGTGTGATTGGAGTCTGATTAGAAAGCGCCGTGTCATGTGGACGAGGTAACACAGAGTAGCTCACTTTATATCCATCGACCTCCAACTTCTGATGTCCTTGCGGGGGCATTCCTCTGTAGAAGTCAATACAAGTTAGGGGCAGGGCCTCCCACGGGACTCGTCAACGCTATAGCTCGTCTGAGAAAGAAACCTCGTTTACCTTTATTGGTTTCTCGACGAACAAGATCGTTGTAGATGTGCGAGAACGTGGTCGAACCTAATCGAAGAAGACTGAGCTTCGAAGCTACGAAGGGTAGACTGATAGAGCTCGATGTTTCATTGTACTGTAATGGCGGAAATGCTCTGAGTGAGATCACCTAAGACCAGACCAACTTCCAGTAGATGCTGTGAGAGCTTACTTGACTAAGGTCATCGGTTTCAGCGGGGCCAGGGGAACATAGCTCTTCGTTGAAATGGCTATTGAAGGCTATTAGCAGACGACTGCCCGCGAATGATTTCCCTACCTCACTGTAGCTTAAGGTTTAGAGCCCCGCGATTGAGGCGAGCTGTAAAAGTGTGGACAGATATGGCCTGGCTAATCTTCCGCTGGGCATTGAAGTATCACACGTGTCAGTCGCGAAAGCCGAGGCGGTGCTCAGGAGCTGTGTTCTGGCTGATGAGGTTCATAGCAGATGGCGTTGGTCCCTATCAGCGGGCTGTTGTCGCATCTGCCGACGCTCTAGGGTTACTAGTAAAAATTGGCTCTTTCGCCGAAGTTCTTGTGTTGGCCTCACGAGATATCGCTCTGCATCACAGATCGCTAAATTAAACTTATCTGCAAGACGCGAGCAGTCCTGCTCTTTTCCGTGAGGTCTCGGCCTTCGTCTCCTTTTTGAGGCATTTAAAGCTATGTCTGTTGATCCTGTTCTTTGTGCCTTTCTGTCGAACCGTTCGACTGGGTAAATGAGGTTGTGGATACGTGTCGCTCCTCGATTAGCATTTGCGGTTGGATCCCTCGAATCTCTCGATGTGAATACTCAAGTTGCTTGTCGACCTCGACCTAGCGAAGATCATTGGCAGTGGCCGGTCGGGAGCAAGGCACCAGACCGGAACAGTGGAGTTCATGGCGATTCAAGTCCTGCAGAAAGCAGCACATACATACAGGCACACGACCTGGAATCATTCTTCTACGTTCTCCTGTGGATCTGTGCCCGCCGATCGTAGGAGACGGAGTTTGGTTGTTCGAAATCTGATCGGCCGAAAGTGAGCAGGCTCGCAAGATGGTACCCAGGTACTTTCGATCAGATTGCAGAGGCGAAAAGAGGATACATGCATTCGGTTGAACGGTCTTTGTCGGATTCCTCCTAGGCTGCAGCAACCCATGAGGATCTTGCTCCAGTAGAAATTCATGATAATAGAGTGGTCGCTTATCACGCAGAGTTGTGTTTCCTGCAATCAGGATTTCACCGTCCTCGTTCAAGGTCCACGACGTCAGTTCCTCCTCATCCAAGAATGATGACTTTGTAAGCCGTTTACCGTATACCGCAACGCTGTCGTTGTCTCCCAGATCGGCGAGATGCTGAAGGTCTTGAACCAGTAGATGAAAGTGAGATCTTCTCTCCGCATAGTGAGCGGTCCTGCTTGCCTCCCCGATTTGTTCCACTTTGTTGTCCAGGAGCGCTGCCCGCTGTCTTGCCACCATGACATTATTGGCCAAGGGAACGAAGACCTTTTCAAAGTCCGGGTATTTTTTGGCGCACGTACACAGCAGTCGCATGGCCCTGTGGCTCGCAGAGGACCAACCATAATGCTCGGCTAGCTGCGGCGACCACAGCGCCGCGAGTGTGGTGAAGTTCCGCTTTCTCATTACAGTATCTCGTTCTGACTCGAGTCACCACCTGGCTTTTTCCGCTTCTTGTCCGTAGGCTGCACGGAATCTACCATCCGTGCAAGGTTCATAAGATCTGCCCATTTCGCATCTGTACGTGCTTGGTCTAATTCTCCTGTGGCCCAACCGGAATCGCCAACAATCTTGATGACCTCGGCCAAGGTAGCAACATGTGTCGAAGCTCGCTCAGTTTCTTAAGAACTTCAGAAAGTGTCGGTCGATGCGTCGAGGAGGAGGTGTTGCTCGAAGGCTTGATTTGGTACTGTTCTCGATCTGAGACCATGGCGGCTAGAGGTTTCCGCCATGCTCTCGTCCGTTTCGCCTCGTGTAAGGAGAAATCAGAGAGACGACTTCCTTGGCGCCTAGAGAGCACAGACCATGACGTGCACGGTCGACTTGGCGACGCGTCATGGTCTGTGCTCGATATCACAGCAATGGTCATATGACCAGGGAGCAGTTTCACTTGGCCCGTCTAGAAGCTTCTAATCACGTGACAATGCGGAAGCCGCGTCTTCGTAATCGTCTCCACACGGTCAAGAAGGTCTCCTTCTTCGACTCTTTTCCTTTAGGCTTTGGACCAGAGACATAAGCTCGATTATGTCCACAGACGATCTCTTCATTCTATCCCTTGCCCACGAGCTGATCCTCGCGATTGCCAGCTATCTCAACCTTCGAGACCTGGAGTCGCTGAATCAGAGTTGTCGCGATATGCGCCGAATCACTTTCGACGCCTATCATGACGCCGCACAGAACAGCAGCGTCGTCGCTATCTTCCTAGCAAGTGGCGGTCTACGATATGAACGTCGAAAACTACTCCGCTTCGCTTGCCAGCGAGAAGGTTCAAAAGGGATTTTCAATGCTGGCCTGGCACAGTCGCGAACCGCCACGAAACCATAAGCTGTCTCTACTGGAACTTTACTTGTACTCCTGAATGGACCCCTGGCTCTCTGCGAAAAGCTGCCGAGGCTGGTATTGCGACGAGATGGTCTGCAGTGACAACGTTCGATCTGGACTCGGCTGAGACAGCCTGGATCGAAGGTACAACGCTTGGGACGCTCAAGCGGAGCGACGGGCTGGTCACATATAAGGAGAGCTCAACCCGATCGACAATCACTCTCCATGACGCAGCCCTTGTCCCTAATCCAGACATCACCAAGCCAGCTCAAAAAATCTTGAGCAGAGGTTCACTGCGTTGGTTCCGTGAGTATCTCAGAAAGCATACACCGCGCGAGTGCGAGATCATCTGGCCAAACGACGAGACGGCATCCGACTTGTTGAGCCTCCCTAAATTGCCAGGAGCGACTAAGAGTCTAACCATTCGCAACATGAGGAAGCTGTTCAATGAACCAGTACGCCTCAAAGCAAACCAGACGCCACGGGTGGAATCTCTGATTCGCAAACTGAAAATGTTGGAGACCCTCTACATCGAGCCGAAATCCTGTCCTAAGTTGGATTTGAAGGCTCTGCGCACATGGAAGGTCAAGATTCTCGAGCTCGATGAGGGAACAGCAGAAGTAGCCAAATGACTCCCTACGGTTTGGGTGCCGGATGTACCGGCGCTGTAAACAAAGCAATCTGATGTCAGAGACAACAGAATCGATTTGCTGTTATATACAAAAGAGCTTTTTGTGCCTTCTACAAAGCGAAATTGTGGGGACACTCCTGACTACCCGACGCACAACCTGAAACCTCAAATACCGTACAGTCAACGGAGCAAATTTATCCGCCCAAATATCTTCTACGCGGATGGTGGTAACCAAACACATGTCGCCAATTGCAGCATTCGCTTATAGCGCGCCCACGAAACGCATCGTGCGAGCCGTCGCCACAACGTTCAGAAGTTGCAGACGCAGTCGAAGCCTTAAGTGGTCGTCAGAGAATCGTTGATATGCTAGGGAGACTTGAAAACCGCCTACTCCGAGTCTATTCGCAGTACATCGACGGACTCGAAGCATAAGTCGGAACACAGGGAAGATCGCATTCCTTCATGGAAGCGTGCGGAGATCAGTCTGCACTGTTCGACCCATCCACTGCTTCGATCGGGGTCTCGCGCCATTATGGCAACAACATCCGCAGTGTCTGGTTGATCCTAATGGGGGCGCGGACGCACTCATCATCGCTGGAACAACCCTAAGTGTGACAGGCCCGAGACAGTCTTCGAAGCAGATTGCGAGAAAGGTTCATTACTAATACGGGCCAACAATTTGGGTTTCCCAGGGCAAGCAATGCGCCATTCCGGTTTTGACTTGAGAATGTCATGCGGCGAGTTCGCAAAGCTTTTGACGGAGCGATTGGCATTGTAAATAGCTATGGATGCGGTGAATCGGTTTACGTGCGCACTGTGGTGCGTGACCACACTATGGAACACCCATTGGGGATTTAGTCGGACAGGGTGTTCTTGGCTCACTCCATCGTAGACTGCTCCATACTGTCTCTTCGTCCAAGTGATCGACAAATTCGACTAGTCATCATACTTGAAAGCCATCTGTGCACCCCTTGTCGGGAGGTATCCATTAGAGGCCTGGGACTTTTAACACCTCTAAATGCAGCACACTGTAGCCAGGTGCCGCTAGTATGAGACCCCCTTCGGGACACTCGACAAGGTGTAATAAAGCATATTGTGTACTGGAATAGAATCCAGCTTCTACGCAGAAAATTTTTGCCCGCAGACATGCACATGGCGAAAGCTTTCCCATTAGGCAAATGGACAGTCGTCCCTTTCGTCGAGGGTCAGCAACGCTCAGGAGAAGATTGGTCAGTTGCTAAATTTCAGCGGTCGCAACGAGTGCGATACCTTATCCGCACAGCCCAGCTCAACAGAATCGGAGACACAGACGTGAATATTGCAATATGTGAAGTGGTTACTAAATCGAGATTACTGCTGTCCCATCCTGAGCTTGCAGATCCGCGGGCGGGTAATACAATACATGATATAGCTGCAACCAGAGGCGACGACGGTGCGGCTCGACTGGTGGGAGGAACTCTGCGATGGGACATCATAGCTTACTCCAAGCCCCTAGCAAGCGAGTCTTATGCCCATTTGCCCGAGACGATATTATTCGCCACTATAGGAGTGTCTCAGAGCTTCACAAAAAGATACTTCTTTCGCACAGATCTAAAAGCCATTTATGGCACGCGTCAGGGGGACAGCTTCTTGTTCCCACTTTACGCCGCTTTGCACCAGTGGGGCATTGCAGCGAGGCTGGTCAATGTCTGGAGGCCGATCACCACTCGAACCCTCGACCAGCGAAGAGCAGCGAAAGTCATAGCTACGTGGACCAGCCATTGTGCATTGTATCTGGAAGATGGCCGAGACCAAAGCCGAGCTCAATTGCATATGCAAGCAGCATGTTTGACACACGTCAGCGAGGAGGGTACCGCGGAACACAACCACACTGAAGCGGACATACCTCAAACCAGTATCGGAAGCCTACCCGAAGAGATTTTGCTCCTCGTAATTGAGTACGCTGTACAGGACAGAGCCGCCCCTGTGGAGTATACACGCTACAATGAGCGGCCAGGAAAACGATACGAGGGGAAGCAGCCGTGGCTTGCCGACATTCAAAATATGGGCATTCCGCTTGTGAACCGGCAGTGGAATCGTATCTTCAACGGTCTTGTAGACGATCTGACGGTGACTGTCTCCATGAGTGATTGGCGCGACAGCCCATGGACTACCACACCACTGATGGTTGTTCATCCCAAGAGCTACGTGGCATTACAATGCGCGAGGCGCATCACTCTTGATTGCTCCATTCTACCGCTGTTCGCGGCATACCCCTTGCCCACACAGCTAGCGGATATCTTGCGATCAAGGGAGTGCCTTCCCGAAATGCGTTTCTCGGCGCCACGAGGCCCTGACACTTTTTTACCTTATTTTCCAGACTATCTGCCGTTCGCATCCCGCACAGCTTATCTACGAGACCTTTTGGAACCGATTGCAGCCGTGTACGCAGCGAGGCACATGACATTCGCCGTGCGCGTGCCTGACTGGGGGAATGCGGTACAGTGTGTGCGCGCTAGTCCTGGTCCGCTGCGTGAGGGAGAATGGCCGTTATTGTTGTGGGCTGCGTACAGTGGGAGCCGTGCGGTAGCTTCGCTTGCACTGCGCGCGCAGGACCAAACGCTGGAAGAAGTGCTGAACTGGAGGAACATGTCGGGTGAGACTCCTCTCTATATGGCTGCGATGCAAGGAAACCTCGATGTCGCTCGGCTCTTACTATCTTTTGAGGAGACTTTCATCGACTGCATGACTTCGGACGGGCGCAACCCCCTGCTTTGTGCGGCTGCATCAGGCCACACTGCGCTCGTTGAGGAACTTCTCTTGTGCATTTCTGACCGTTACCCCGGGCAAGAGAAAGCACAGATACTGGACGCAAGGGAGGAATGTGGCGGTACCACACCGCTTATCGCTGCTGCAATTCAGGGTCATGATGGCGTCGTGGCAGCGCTTCTTCAGGCTGGGGTGGACAGTGATGCCATTGACTACCGTGGTTACACGGCGCTTCGCGCCGCGGTGAGATTTAAACACTCAAAGACACAGGATCTGCTCAGATCCTGGAACATGGCAAGCCATAATTGAATGCAACTTGTTATGCTTTACAGCAAGCCTCAAATCTTTCCCAATCATGCCAAGTCAGCACAAGAAGTCTCTCGTTTGGGGAGACTAAGCTGGGTAGCACATGCACCGGTCCGACGGGCATACGTAAGTTAGTGCAGCAGGTTTTTCCGCGGAGCATGTGCTAGGCTGCATGCAGATCTTAAACCAGCTTTTGACCTTCTAGCTTAGTCAAAATTATTGTGCTAATGTACACACAGTCCTAGAGGAGCCCTAAAGAATACAGGGCCAGGTCATGATCTGTCCTGTAAATCAAGCTACTCAGCGGAGTGTTCTTCCTGCCTGTCCGAGTTGCGCAGAAGCGAAAGGCAGGGAGTCCTAAGGCCGCCCACGTATAACCGTTAAAACAATCCCGCTCATGCGCCAGAAGCAAATGATCGTTATAGCAAGAGCAGCGTGACTTGAAGACGTACGCTCAGCGCCTAGTTCGGACCTTTCGACACTCTCCAAGACGAAGTGTGCTTAATAGGCTTTGGAGTAAGAGCGAGCGCCTCATGGTGGCATTGATAGCTACAAGTGTGTGACCGGACAGTTTCTATGACTGTTGCAGTGTTTTAGCATGCACTCGCGGCCTGAACGCCTGCGACTAGGTGATGGATGCGGCCTGGAAGTTATCAGTATTTTTGAGGGCGATTTAGAGAGCAAGTAGTTGTGCATCTCTTAATCAAGAAATGCAACTGCAGTTTGATACTAGCACCTAGCACCACCAGCACCGCTAGCACTACTAGCACCACTAGCACCATTGCTAGCCTCAAAATTGTTGCGGTTGAAACGGACACGCCTTTGCAGGCGATGAATCCGGCTCATATTGAGTGATTTTCCTTGGACTATACAGCGGCCACATTTCGAACAAAAGTAGAATGTGGCCGTTCCCTCGTTAGCGTTGTTCCACCCTAGTGGCAAGGACCTACGATCACTATTGAAGACGAAGAGACAGCCTGCGCCACGATCGAATCTCTGCCAATAGACTCAAAATCTACAAGTACACCGATGGAAGTAGCCGGGTGCTGCAGCTGTGTACCCCGCAAAGGGAAAGACAAGGAGTGCAAACATAGGAACAGACAGGGTCTCGGTGTGGGGAGAGATCGACTAACTAAGTAATTATCATATTACCCTCGTCGTCTGCAACACCTTGCTAAGCCGTGGGTAATCGTTTACGCCCGAGTCTAGAATATTGGTGCTTGACTCTAGCGTTTGCATGCTCGACTGCAGCGACGATACGCAGCCCTGCAAGGCATTCTGCGTGCTGATATTCATCCTGTCTAATCACGACAAGTTCTAATGAAGTCAACAAAGCCGTCGCAGGACGCCCTAGTCGGCTTCAACATCCCTGTTTGGCCACCTCTTAAGAATTGCAGTGACACCTGCCGCAGAGTCCTTGGTTTGTTTACCATGGCGAATGAACTCTTTTTCCATGAATTTCAATGTTCTTGGCAAGTTCTATTGCTAACTACTACAACGATGTTGAGATTTGTTAGCCACGACGTGACTTCGCTTTCTAATATCATCAAGTACGCCACGCCGCTTTATCCTCTTAACGTTGGTCCTCAGTGTAGTCTTGCACATTCCCCTGCACACTGTTATACTATGTATTTGTTGGGTACAAGGCGCCCTGGTCCCCTATCTGGGTTCCTGCTCTTCTTCTTTCGACCTCGACTCCGAGACGCCGGTTGACCCTGCCCATTTCGGCATATACAGTATCAAGGTTGTTGTTCGCCATCGCTAGGCTCAGCTTGTTTTCTTCTGCGAGCTGAATCGCTCGGTCTATACCGCTCTGTTTCCTGGTCGGAATCAGCAGATCAGCTTAACGAGGCGATTTCGTACTAGGCGACACCTTACGTGGGCGGCTGTGGATCGCGATACTGACATTCGATCCTTTGCTCCATGCATTGCCGGCATGGGCGTCTGCCATCGCACCTCTGCTTACGCTTGCGACACTCCTAAACGAAGTCAATACTTCTCTCGGTTAACGTCGTGCGTTGCACGGCAGTTACCTCGCATGCCTGGTAGATTGTCAGTCTTGCTAACCTGAGCCATGCGGTTTATACATCGCTCACTGTTCTAGTACGTCTAATCTTCTCTCTCGGCCCGTCCACTTCGATCTCGGTCAGCGTTGGCTGCCATTGTGGCCCGCCAGCGTTGGCGCTGACAGGCAAGCCTGGGACCTGAAAGGACGTAGGATGCAGTGGTTGTGACCACTGCCTCGGGTCTCCCCCATGTCGCGCAGTGGGATACGTAACCTGATTGGGGTAGGTTGGGTAGGGATTTGGTGGAGGGGCTGCTCCATGGTATGGCCGCGTGTTCACATGCTGGCTGCTCTCAGGATTCATGAAGCCATTATACGGATCCATGGAGTATGGCAGCCGCACGGTCTTCAGCAATTGCCTGCGTGGGCCTCTGGGAAGGTTCACGACAAAATGGCGGTACCGAGTAGTTGGAGAGCGATGCGCGGACTCGCCTATATTTCGCCCAAGCAATATCACCACAATCACGGCCAGCACCAGCGAGGGTAATAAGGAGGCAGCAGCAGTCAACATTCCGGTGAAGCGCAGTGCCCTAGCTGCAGACTCCCAACAGCCCCGACGAATCGGAAGACATACCGTCTTCCGTCCAGGCTAGACCCTGTCGATCGGCGGCACTTGAAGCTCCACGGAAACGCCGCCCTTCGTGAGTAGCGTCCATTAGTCCGTCATTGTGGTCACCTAATCATATCTTGTGGCTGTCCTTTAGTTCTACCGCGAGATTAGCGCAACGTGATCTGGATTGAGCGCGATCCCGCCTTCTATCTCCTGTATCCGCGCGAAATGTCTCATTTGTACGGGCGTTCGTATGTGTACCCTTGCCGGAATCTTCCTGCGAATTTTCCTACGAATCTTCAAAAAGCAATGTGCAAATGCAGTGCACAACTACTCGCAGCATCGGACTTCGATTACTATCGTCTCACCGCACCTACGAAGATGGTGCTCGGCTACAGCCTCTGCGTGATACGCAAATCGCCATGGAATTTATGAGGGTATAAGGTATTGCTCGACTTAGGGTACGAGTAGCGAAGATGCTGTCCTAAGTAAGCAAACACACTCTACATTAGTAAGATGGAAAACAACTTTCAAGGGGTTTGATAGTGTTAGGAAACCAATCCATAAGAAGGTAGTAAATGTCTATTAAGTTTTCAAAGATGGTGGAATGCTTGCATTTGTGTATGAAGAGATGGACAACTTATAGAGCAAGTCTTCTCTTAATATTAATCTCTAGTTAGTTATCTAGATTCTAAGGACGCTTAGATAGCTCCGATATGCCTCTAGGTAAGCAAATCTAGGCAAACAGATTACTACTGCCTATATCTGTCTTATGGCCTTCTATCTACTACAAAGATATTAGTTAGCCGGCATAGGGTTGTTGAGCTTAGTAAGATAACCGACTAGCAGATTGGAGTCTTCGCTAACAAGAGAAAGCCCACGCGAGCAGTGTCTTTTGCGTCCCCGACAAGATTTCTAGCAAGATCTAGCGGCTCTTGCAGCAATGCTTGTTGCAATCTCGTTCCCGCTGGAACTCGAGCCTAGAGCAAGCACCTAAATCCAATTTCGCACGCCTTCTATTAGCACCTCGTTAGCGGTGATGTCAATCTAGCAGTTAAGGTTAGTCTTCGAACGGGTTCGAGGACACAGCCTAACATTGCCACAGCACGAGTACTTACGACAGGTGGATTTGCGCTAGTCTGTGGGAACTGGTAGTATATACCCTCGATCCAGCCTTTCATCCCCCGCGTCCATTTGGCGGTTCGACTCGAGTGGAAAATCTCAATTGCAAGCTCCGGAAAACTTCACCTGCTTTCACCGCAGAGAAGACTTACCTATCTAGTCTTGGAAGCACCGAGCTCTTGTTCTGCTGCATGATGATGTAAGTTCTAGTTCGTGTGTAGAACTGTCCTGCTGCACGATACGCATTCCGCCGATATGTGCCTAGGTAGACCTCCCATTTCCACTGTCTGTCGAAGTGATCGTGTTCGTGGACATTATCGAGCGCATTTACAGAGCGCGAGCTCCTGTCTCGCGGATGCGACAAACGCCTCCAATCAATTATTAGAACGACCCAGATCTCGTCACTCCTCCCCTTCGGTATCCAATGGTCGTTCTGACCATATCAGACTAGTGTCGCCGGAGCAGCTGCTACAACCTCAAACCGAGATCAACCAAGGCGCAAGAAATGGAAATGCAGCGGCCCGACAGTTCTGCCACTATGCTCGAAGTCGCAGAGCTACGATAAAGCGCCCAAGCAATCACGCCAATGACAGAGAAAGTCCTAAGACTGGTCGCTGGCAGTG